CAGCATGGCCGCCCTAGAGCCCAGCCCGCCCGACGCGTGGGCTGTCGCAGACGACGGCCACTGCAGCTACATCCAGTCCGTCAAGCATTGCACGCGCTACCGCGGTAAACTTCCGTCGGATTCCAGCGATGACAGCGACGACGGCAGCTGCGGCGGCGGCAGCGCAGACGGCCGAGAGGCGCGCGCTGGCGCGGCAGCCCCAAGGCTCCCGACCATGGAGAGCCTCCCGCTGGGAGCGCAGTGGGCCGCACGCTTAGCCCTGCCGGCTGATTGCCCCGACCTGCTGCCCCTGGCCGAATGGGCTGCCGAGGCCAGGGCCGCGGCCGAGGCGGAGGGCGCCGCCTTCGCCGCCATCGGCGGCCAGGGGTTCAAGGAGTGGATACGCAACTCCATGGCAGCAGGCGCAGGGGGCCTCCACGCCCATCGGCGAGGACCGCGCGGCTGGGCACCCGACGACGAGCTACGCGGCTCTCCAGCGCACGGCCCCGACCGAGTGAAGGTCACGGCGCAGCAGTGGACCTCCGAGGTCTGGCGGGTTCGGCAGGGCATCGATCGCCGTCGCCCGCGGCGACCGCCCACCGAGGGATGGGGCGCTGCCCAGGCCCTCGGCCGATCGGGTGCGCCAGGCCGCCAAAACGTTCAGGCACAGCACTGGCGTTGGCAGCGATCGCTTAAACCCCAGAATGTCAGCGGACCTCAGCGACGCCCTCCTGGAGGTCATTATCGACTTCGGGATGCGGTGCGAGGAGTTGGGCGGTTGGCCCGACGTCATCACCGACTCTCTCGTGGTGGTGCTTCCTAAGCCTCAAGGGGGCTTTCGGCCCATGGGCCTGCTGGGCTGACTTCCACGCCTCTGGAGTCGCGTCCGCCAGCCAGACGCGCGGCGCTGGGACTCCCAGATCGACCCAGGCGTAGCCGGCACATTCTGGGGCGGCCGCGGGCGCGCGGCCGAAGAGGCCGTCTGGTGGCAAGCGCTCCAATCCGAGGCCTCGCAGGTACGAGGCGAGGGAGATGCAGTATTACTCATCGACCTGTGGAACGCTTACGAGCTAGTCGGCCTGGCGATCATCCAGGACCGCAGCATTATGGCGGGCTACCCGAGGGGGCTGCTGGGCATGGCGCTGACCTGGTATGCTGGCGCGCGGCGTTTCGTGCTCGACGGTAGCGTCTCCGACCCCTACCTGCTCGACGCGGGCCTCCTCGCTTGTTGCTCGCACGCAGGGCGGCCCCCTAAGTGCGGCCTGCTTGTGCTGGCCGATGAGCACGCGCGCCTATGGCGGGTGCTGGAGCCTCGGGTCACGCTCGCCATCATGTTCGACGACTGCTGCGTTGGATGCCACGGCCCCATGGCACAGGTCGCGGGGTACGTCGCCCATGCGACCGAGGCCGTGGCTGCGCAATTCGTGGCGCCGGGCTGCAAGGTGTCGGAGTCGAAGAGCGAGTTGCTGGCGAGCTCGCCTGAGCTGGCCTCGCTGGTGGCCAAGCAGATGTGGGGCACCGCCCCTCCCATCGCCGACTCGGTCAAGAACCTGGGGGTGGACTACTGCCTCGACGGCCAGGCCTTCGTGGTGCTCGAGGCGCGCCACGCCAACGCTGCAGCGCAGCTACAGAGGCTTCGCGCCATTCGCTCCCAGGAGACACCAACAGCAGCGCGTGTTGCCAACGCGGGGCTCAGGCCTGCCACCCGACACGGCCTGGGCGCGGTGGGCTGGCCGTCGCCGCAGGTCAGCAAGTGGCGGAGGCAGGTCCATGCCGTTCACCACGCCAGAGGGCCTGGCAAGAGCCTCAGCCTCAGCTTCCTCCTTAGCAAGCGCCTGGCCAGCGACCCGCTCGTTGACCACGTGACGCTGCCCATCGTGGCGTGGGCCAAGGCGGTGCAGTTCAACTCTGACCGCGCGAACATGCGAGCATTCGGGAGCGCGCTCGCAGGGGCCAATTGGCGAGGAAGGCTGCGGAGGGGCCTGAGGCCCTTTCAGGCAGGGGCCATGCCTCGGCCTGCGTGCTGGCGCGCCATCGCTTGGGATGGGGTGCTCTGCGACCAAGCTTCTTCCTCAACTGTGGTGCACAGCCATTTCGGTGTACCACACCATGTGGTGTACACAGGCGCTGCGGTGTACACAGATGCTGCTGTGCACACAATCGCTATGGTGTGCACTTGCGTTGTGGGCCCAGAAGACGGGACCGTCCCCTGCGCAAGACAATCAATCACCACACGTAGTTTACATTTTGGATTCGATACGTTTGGACACCCCACGATTTTCTGGAGTTCGGTCTTGCCGGGGGCTCTGGAAATGTACGTCTGTTTGTGGTGTACACACGCAGTTTGGTGCACCAGAACTGTGGTGCACGAGTATGGTGCTGAAGCAGCATCCGTGGTGCACATAGGCGTCGTCGTGTTCACGGGCAGTGTGTGTGTGTGTGGTGTACACAGGCGCTCCCGTGCACACGGGTGTTGTGGTGTACAGAGGCGCCGCGGTGATCACAGGCATTGTTGTGTAGACAGGCGCTGTGGTGTACACTCGCAGCTGTGGTGTGCAAAGGCGTCGTGGCGCACGGTAGATAGGCGTTGCGGTGTACACAAAAATGGTCGGCCAAACAAGGGGGTACCGTACCCCGGGCCAGAACAATCAATATTCATAAATAACTTACAAATTGAACTTGATATGTTCGGGCCTCGAGATTTTCCAGATTCGGGCCCCGGCGGGACCCTGGAGGAACACGGAAGCGCTGTGGCGCAAATGTTTGCCATGCGCTGTGGTGCGCGCGGCTCTTGTGGGGTGTGCATAAGTACCGCCGTGTACACAGGCGTTGTGGTGCACACGGGTGTTGTCTACACAGGCATTGTGGTGTACACAGGCACTGTTGTCTAGACAGGCATTACGGTGTACACAAGCAGCTGTGGTGTACAAAGGCTCCGTGGCGCACGCTGGACAGGCGCCGTGGCGCACGCTAGACGGGCGCTGTTGTGTACACGAACATGGTCGGGCAAAAACGGGGGGACCGTACCCCGGGCCAGCAAAATCAATAGTTACATATTGAGTTTGATACGTTCGGGCCCCCGACGATTTTCCGGAGTTTGGCCCGTCGGTATTGCCGTCAGGCGTACACGAGCTTTGCGGTGAGCGCAGGCGTTGTGGTGCACAGGGGGTGCTGAAACAGCGGCTGTGGTGCACGCAGGCGCTGTGGCGTGCGCAGATCGCGCGATGTACATAGGCGTCGTGGTGCACGCGGTTGTAATGGTATACGCAGTCGCCGTGGTTCACACACATTAGATTTCGGTAGCAGCCCTTGTGCACAAAGGCATTGTACAGAGCCCGTGCTGTGTGCACAGGCTAGGCGGCGACGACGACGACGACGACGACGACGACGACGACGAAGACGACGACGACGACGGAGGCGGCGCGCCTCAAGGGGTTCGCGCCGCGGCCCCAGTTACCGTTTCCCCCCCCCCACGCCTCTCCCCCCCCCGGGTAACATGCGTTATCCCCAAAAAATAAAACATGGTCTCCACCTCTTTCCTGCCCACCTCCCCCGCCCTGGCCTCCCTTTCCCCCTCGCCCCCTGCCGTTTATTCCCTTCCCTCTCCCCTCTTCACCTGCTGCCTACCTCCCCCTCCCCCCCCTCACATCCACTCCTCCCTCCCCTCCCCTCCACCCCCCCTTCCTCCTGCCCAAGTGTGAGATCCGACGTTGCGAGTCAAAATTGATACCTCGCAGACAATGGCGACCAGATCGATCTGTGATGGCCCCGATGCCTGGCACTCAGCGAAGACGACAGGTGTGCAAAAATTGCCACGCCCAGATTTTGGGGAATCCCTCCGCCCCTCCCATAATTTCGGTGTCTTGAGTTTCTTAACACGGGGTCCGGCGAGGGCCCCCATAGGCTGAAACTTACGGAGAAGCTCCGCCTCGAGAATCTCGAGACGCTGGAGGTCTGAGGTTGAGGAGGAGGATGTGGAGGTGAAGGGGGTTGAGGAGGAGGAGCAGGAGAAGGAGGAGGATGAGGAGGAAAAGGAGGGGGATACTTGAAGGACTTTGAGGAGAGGGGGAGGGGGAGGAGGAGGAGGAGGAGGAGGAGGAGGAGGAGGAGAAAGAGGGGCGAGGAGGACCAGGGGAGGACCAGGAGAAGGAGGAGGAGGAGGAGGAGGAGGAGGAGGAGGAGGAGGGGAGGAGGAGGAGGGGGGAGGGGGAGGGGGAGGAGGAGGGAGGAGGAGGAGGAGGAGGAGGAGGAGGAGAGGAGGCAGGAGTGAGGAGGCGGCGGAGGAGGAGGGAGGAGGGAGGAGGAGGAGGGAGGGGGAAGGAGAGGAAGGAGAGGAGGGTGGAGGAGGAGGAGGAGAGGAGGAGGAGGAGGAGGAGGAGGAGGATGAGGAGGAGAGGAGGGGGGAGGAGGAGGAGGAGGAGGGGAGGAGGAGGAGGAGGAGGCGGAGGAGGAGGAGGAGGGCAGGAGGGAGAAGGGGAGGAGAAAGGGGGGGAGGAGGAGGAGGAGGAGAGGAGGAGGAGGAGAGGAGGAGGAGGAGGAGGAGGAGGAGGTGGAGAAGGAAGAGGGAGGAGGAGAGGAGTAGGAGGAGGAGGAGGAGGAGGAGGAGGAGGAGGAGGTGGAGGAGGAGGAGGAGGAGGAGAGGAGGAGCGGGAGGAGGAGGAGGAGGAGGAGGGAGAGGAGGAGGCGGAGGAGGAGGCGGAGGAGGAGAGGAGGAGGAGGAGGAGGAGGTGAAGGAAGAGGTGGGTGGAGGGGGAGGAGGAGAAGGAGAAAGAGGAGGAGGAGAGAGGAGGAGTTGGAGGGGGAGGGAGGAGGAGGGAGGAGTTGGAGGAGGAGGAGAGGGAGGGGGAGGAGGAGGAGGTGGAGGAAGAGGTGGGTGGAGGGGGAGGACCCACCGCCGTCCTGGCGAGGCCAGCGCCCGCTGCCGCGCCTGGCCCCCAGCCCCAGAGGCCGCCCTCGCGGCCGCCGCGGGGCGCGCCGCGGAGGCGCCGCTCGGCGGCGAGCGGGCGGCGGCTCGCGGCGGCCGTGGCTGGCCAGAGCGGAACGGCGCGGCGGAGCGGCGCCAGCGCGGCGGCGGCGGCCGCCGCCGAGGGCCATCGAGGTTCGATTTTCGAGGTTGGAAGCGTTTTTCCAAAGTTTTCGGCCTCGAGGGGCCGTTCTCGGGACCTGGGGACCCGCGCAACTCGATCTGGGGTGAGAAACCGCGCTGGATGGACCCCACGGGGGTACCGATGTTGACCGATGTGCAGCGGCCGCGCCCAGTCCGCAGAGGAGGGGAAGTCGTCGGGGCTCAAGAGACATGGGGGTCAATGCAGACGGGGATCAGCCAGAGCGCCAGATCTGGCAGGATCCTGCAGATCGAGCCAGGGGTGCACTGACCTGGGCTGGCGTGCAGGATCCTGAAGGATTTTGCAGGAGATCTTGCAGAGCCCGACTGGCCCGGGTTTGCATTGATCTGGGTCAGTGCGTCCCCGAAGTCGTCCACGCGCAGACCAGTGGGGAGTAGAGCTGGTGCCAAGACCTCCTCCTCCTCCTCCTCATCCTCATCCTCCTTCTCATCCTCCTCCTCTTCCTTCTTCTCCTCCTCCTCCTCCTCCTCCTTCTCCTCCTTCTACTCCTCCTCGTCCTCCTCCTAGTAGGTGCCGCTGAAACCAATAAGACTGCCGAGCAAATAATTAGTTACCCCTTATGGGGGTGTGTCCAGACCCTTCATGATTAGGGGAGGGGTGAATGCTTCCTGGAAGCAGCAGTCGGGGAAACGTAAGACTCGAGTGCTCTGGAACACGGGTTCGCCTGCGCTTTTTCACGAGCCTGCCCTGGGTTTTTTGACGGTTCTGTTTTGCAGCGAGAGTTCGCATCAAATTTCGAATTGGGTCTCGTCATGTCCATAATGGCCCCGTCAGGCCAGCCCGAGTCCCCCGAACCCGAGTCTTACGTCTCCCCGAACCCTGCTTCTTAGAAGACGATGGCCTTGTCCCTCCTTCTGTTCAGACGCCTTCTCCCATCCCTCTAAACCCCCTCTGCGCGCTGCCAGAAACTGTTTACCGAGGCTCAAACAGTGGCGACGCGTCCTGGCTTTCCCAGCGGCTCACCAAGAAAGATGTTATGAGAGCGATCTGTGGTTTGCACGAAAAGTGTTGTAGAGCATTTCTGGATGAGGCTGTCTTGTGTTAGCCCATCGCTTTATGTCACAAGAGCATCGGTTTGTTCTCAGTGCATTCTTCTGTCCTGAGAACATTCCGTGTTAGGCAATGTGTCGCAACGTCGGATCGCAGGGAGGGTACCGATATCGATATCCTGCCCTCGCCGCCGCGGCTGGATTCGCCTCGGACTCTTGGTCATTGCGCACCCCTGGAGAGGCCAGGGCGGTAGCTGTATCGTGCTGCTCCCGCAGGTCCTGGGGCGCTGGGGCGTCTGGCCGCTTGGTGGCGCCGGAGCGCCAGGATAGATCGCAAGGCGTTGGGCAAGATGGGCCCGGCCCTCAGTGGGCCCCTGGAACGGGCAGGGCCGTTTTTCCACCGTGTCCGAAAGAGTGCCCCTTGAGAATGGAAACGGCAAACAAGCGGCGACCGGAAACGGCAGCAGAAACGGCTCCAGGATTGGAACCGGAGCGGGAACCCGTAAAAGAGCGGCGACGGAACCGGTAAAAAAACGGCGTCAGAACCGGCAACAAAAACGGCAAAACGGAACCGGTAACAAAAACGGCCATGTCGTTTCTAGGGCCCACTAAGGCCTGGCCAGCGTGCTGTCCTACTCAGTGACGTCCAACGCGTCGTACTGCCTCATCACCTTCCTCGCGATGCTGTCCGTGATGCGGGCCACGGGGGCGAGCCCTCTCACGAGTCAGGCTGCCGCAGGGCAGTTCGTTGCCAGCTACGCGGGCCTCTGGCTGCTCAACAACCTGATCCGGCCGCTGCGCATCGCGCTCGCCGTGGCTGTCGCCCCTGTGTTCAACAGGGCTCTCGACAGAATCGAGAGCGCGCTCTCCGTCAAGCGCGGGGCCGCGTTCGCGATCGGATTCGTCCTCACCACCCTGCTCGTCTGTGCGATGTTCTTCGCGGCGCTGCAGCTGCCGGCCATCATCACAGGTGTGCCTCTCGGCAGCGTGAAGAATTTGGGCGCGCTCGTGAAGGCCGGCAAGGCTGCCAGCAGCTGAGCTGGGCAGCTCTGGGGGCGGTCGGGCCCGCTGAGAGGAGGAAGAGGTACCGATCCCGCTACCCTGGCGTCGTTTTCGTTTTTGGGGCCTCATGGGAGGCCGTCGTCGCCACGGTTGGACTCGCCTCGAAATTTTGGTCAGAACGTACCGAGGCGAGGCTCGGGGAGTAGCGGTATTGGTACCTCTTGGTTCCTCCGTCCGCGCCTTCTGCGGTGGCCGGGCCCTGCCTGTCGCAGAGAGCGAAGCTGCCCAGGTCGGTACGGCTGCCTCTGGGAATATCGGGCCGGGCGAAAGGGGGGGATTGGGAAAGGGGGGGGTACGAAATTTGCTGCATGCAGCTGGTTTCGGCCCCGCCGAAGGGCCCATTCCTCGATGCATAGCCGCCTCCGGCGCCGGGAGGCGCCTGGAAAATCAGCTACGCGAGCTGATTCTCACCCCCCCCCTTTGCTATCCCCCCCTTGCGCCCGACCCGAGAATAGCCTATCAGCTCGAGGTCGGAAAGCATGTGCCAATACGCTCAGAGCCCAGACCTCCAACCGTGTGGATCAGCAAATTGGCCGCTCCGCTTTTTTCCACGGTGTGCGGCGTGTCGGCCGGCCGGGCCCCCCGGGGCTTGTCAAGAGATCGACGCCGGATGGAAAGCCGGCGCCGGTAGCATGGTCAAGACTTCTCGGGGGTGGACAGAACCCCCAACAGTGTCACGTCGATTAGTGAATTGCCCTTCTTCGGTTCTCGAGAGGGCGCCGTGGCCGTCATTTTCCAGGCTTGCGCCCGCCAGGTTTGGGACTGAGGTCGTTTTCACTAAACCACGTTTTACTGAAGGGGGGTCTGTCCATCCCCGAACTTCCAGGGGACCCCCTTGTTGGCAGATTTAAGGCATCGAATCGCTGGGAGTGAGGGCCGACACCATCGCCCCCCCCCCCCGCTCAGGGAGGAACTGATGAGAGGGAATAGGAGTAGAAGGGTCCTGGGCCTCGCGGTGGGATGTCGGCGTGGTGACGTGGTCTGCTCTGCAAGCCCGATCTCTGCCAGGTGGGACATGCCTGGGCCGAGCGCCGATTGCGCACACTGCCCTATCGTTTTGCTTCTCTCCCTCCTTCTTCCGCTCTTCGTCCTGCTACTAGTTCTGCCATTCCGTGCCCTATCTCCAAGCGTCGCTCAAAGATCACGACCAGCGGCTCTTCTTGGATTTCGACATCCAGTGCACATGTATGGGGCCAGGGACTTGCCAGCAAGTAACTCTCGGGGTAGGGGCTGAGAACTCCTGGAAGGCCCCGCACTAAAGAATCGGGAGGGAAAGAACCCGCAGACACGATGAATCGTCGATTCCGCAGAAAATTTCAGAGCATATGGGAAGCGGGGGAGAAATCGACGATCCATAAAAGATGAAGAATGCAATCCGGCGATTTGCTCGTATTTATATCTGCGTGTCCCTGGGCCCCTGCAAAGAGGCACAGCAGGAGGAGCGGCGTCGAGGGTCCGAGCCCGAGGGCGCCATAGGGCCCGCCGCGAGGACGTCCGCCGCCCCGCCGTGGGCGTGTGCAGGCGGCCTGGACCAGCAGGTCGGCCCTGCCAGATCAAGGGTAGCCTCGTGTCCACCAGCCTCGAACCTATCTATCCCTATCCCTAAGATTCACACGCTAAAAGAAGATGACAATCTTAGGGATACACCCTCAGAAACTGAGGAAATGCCTAAGATCGCCATCGTGATGAGGCGATGCCCAACATAGGGATAGGGATATGTTCCAGGCTGGTAACGTGTCCTGTGTCTTGCGGCCCGTGCCTCCTGCATTTCTGTTGCAGCGTGTTCCTCGGGAGGGTCTCGTGTCCTCTCGCGTGTCCTCTCCCATCGAGTCCGGCTGTAGGCTGGTTGTTCGTAAAGCCCGGGGCCCGTCCCCGGGACTGGCACGTCGGATCCGCGACGGGACGCTCCGTCGGACCGGCGGGGCGCGCTCCCTCGGCCGCTCGACGCGGTGCCTCGGCATCGCGTGCAGTCGGACCGAGCCATGAGAGCGAGGTCGGTTCGGGGCGGGTGCCCAGATGTTCTTGGTGTGTGTTGGATGCTCTTGTGCATGTTTGGGGGGGTGCCCTTGGATGTTCTGTATGTTGTGGCCGACGGCGGGTGTCAGGTGGCCTGCGTCCGACTGTTCCCGATCCCGATCCCCACCACCCCACCACCCCAGCTGGAGACATGCCCTCCGGACAGCCCCCATCCCCAACTGGGAAAGCGCGCCACTGGATCACCCTGTAATTGAAAAGGGGGGGTTGAGATTTTCGACCCACTCCCGCGTCCCCCCCTTGAAGGGGAAGGGGGCTTCCGACCCCCCCCACCCCTCCCCCTTCCTTGAAGGGGGCGGGGGCGGGTTCAGGACCCCCCCCCCCCTGGCGCTGGAAAGGGGGGGGGGATCGAACCCCCTCCCGCCCCCTTCTCCCCACTTGCGCCCGACAGAGAGCCCGGGGGGGCCTCTCCCGCTGCTCTTTTCTGCGCCGGCAAAGGTGGGTAGGGAGTATTGAGTAGGGGATAGTGAGTAGTGAGTAGTGATACTGATTAGTGAGTAGTGAGAAGAGACTAACAAGTAGTGAGTAGTGAGCAGTGAGTTAGTAGTGAGTAGGGAGTAGGGAGTAGTGAGTAGTACACAGTACTGCGTACTGGGTACTGAGTAGAGATTAGTGAGTAGCGAGTAGCGAGTAGTGAGTAGTGAGTAGTGAAGAATGAGGAATGGGTAGGCAGTACGGTGTAGGGAGTAGGGAGTAGTGAGTAGTGGGTGGTGAGTAGTCGGTGGTGAGAAGTGAGTAGTGAGTAACGGGTAGTGGGTAATGCGTGGTGAAAACTGAGTAGTGAGTAGCGAGTAGCGAGTAGTGAGTAAGGAGTAGTGAGTACCGAGTAAGAAGTAGAGAATGGGAAGTAGTGAGTAGTGAGTAGTGGGTAGTGAGTAGTCGGTAGTGAGTAGTGTGTAGTGGGTAGTCGTTTGTCAGTAGTGAATAGTGACTAGTGAGAAGGAATAGTGAGTACTGGGCAGTGGGACGCGAGTAGCGAGTAGGGAGTAGCGACTAGAGAATTGTGAAAATCAAGCAGTGGGTGGTCAGTAGTGTGTAGTGAGTAGGGTGTAGGCAGTTGTGACTAGTGAGTAGGGAGTAGCGAGTAGGGAGTAGCGAGTAGGAGTAGTGGGTAGTTAGTAGTGAGTAGCGAGTTGGGATTAGTGAATCGCGTGTGATGGCATGTGAGAAGTGGGTAACGAGTAGTGGGTAGCGAGTAGTGAGTAGTAAGTCGTGAGTAGTGAGCAGTGAGAGGTAGATGGCAAGTAGTAAGTGGTGAGTAGTGAGCAAAGAGCAGTGCGTACTCACTCGTAAGTGGGGAGTTTTGAGTTGCGGGTGCTGATTAATGGGTAGTGCGTAGCGAGCACGTGGTGAGTAGGGATATTGCGTAGCCGTTAGCGAGTAGGGGGTGGCGAGTAGTGAGAAGTGAGTAGTGAGTAATGAGCAGCGAGGAGGGAGTTGTGAGTAGTGCGTAGTAAGTAGAGAGTAGTGTGTAGTGATTGGGAATAGGCAGCAGTGTGTACTGAGTAGTGAGAAGTGAGTAGTGAGTACTGGGAGGTGAGTACTGAGTATTGAGTAGCGAGTACCGCGTTGGGAGTAGCGAGTAGTGAGTAGCGAGTAGTGAGTACTGTGTAGGGAGTAGCGAGCAGAGATTAGTGAGTAGTGAGTACTGCGTAATGAAGAGTGGGTGGTGGGTCGTCAGTAAGGAGTAGTGAGTAGTGAGTAGTGCACAGTGTTTCGCGAGTAGGGAGTAGTGAGTACTTGCAATGAGTAGTGCATGGTGAGTCTTAAGCAACGGGTATAGAGTAGGGGGTAGTGAGTAGGGAGTAGCGAGTAGGAGACAGTGAGTAGTGAGTAGTGGGTAGTGGGTAGCGTGTTTGGTTTAGGGTCTCGGGCTAGGGTGAGGATTAGGGTTAGGGGTGGGAGGGGGGGGGGTTCTGGAGTCAGCGGGCGGCGTGGCGCAAGGGGGGGGAGGGGGGGTGCTTTCGAATTTCGAGCCCAAGAGGGGGGGGGTCGGACAACCCCCCTTTGGAAAATGGGGGAGGGGTTTTCCCGACGACGGACCGGGAAAAGGAGGGGGGGGTCTCCGACGATGGACCTGGGAAAGGGGGGAGGTCCCCCCCCCCTCTGGGGAGATCCAGCGGCGCGCCCTCCCCAACTGGAAGGTTCATTGACCAGCGGGGCCCCAGGCCACGCCCGTGGGGAATAGGGGTCGGTGGAGCGATGCTCACTTACTTCCTCCTGACAGGGGCTGCTCCGACCTGTCCTTGGCGGAGGGCTTCAACTCCACGGACTCCTCGCAGTCAAAGATGCTTGCGATGTTTCGGAGGCGCGCCACACACACCGGGCGGGACGAGGGAGGAAAGGAGAAGGATCGGGCGGTTGGCATCAACGCAAATACACGTGGAGGCATCGAAGGGGTCAGGGAAAGCGGCCCTGACGGCGTCCCACGTGGCTCCTGACTTGCCACCGCGGGCCCAACAGGTGCACGGAAGGTGCACGTTTCTTCTGCCGCCTTTCTTGCTCACCCGTCAACGAACACCCGAGAAGAGGAACACAAGGAGGAGGAGGAGGAGGAGGAGGAGGAGGAAGAGGAGGAGGAAGATGAGGAGGAGGAGGAGGAGGAGGCGGAGAAAGAGGAGGAGAAAGAGGAGAGAAAGGGTGATGGGAAGAGGCGCAAAGGGGGAGGGCGGAGAGGGAGGAGGAACAGGAGGTCGGAGGGTGAGGAGGAGGAGGAGGAGGAGGAGGAGCAGGAGGAAAAGGAGGAGGACGAGGAGGAGGAGGAGGAGCATGAGGAAAAGGGGGATTGGAGAAGGCCAAGGCGAAGAAGGGGAGGGCGGGGATTGGAGGAGGAACAGGAGGAGGAGGAGGAGGAGGAGGAGGAGGAGGAGGAGGAGGAGGAGGAGGGAGAGGAGGAAACAGAAGGAGGAGGAGGAAATGAGGAGGAGGAGCAGGAACAGGGGAAAAAAAGGAGGAGGAGGACGAAAGGACGAGAGGAGGAGGAGGAGAAGGAGGAGGAGGAGCGAAGAGGGGGACGGGCGGGGACGGAGGAGGAAAAGGAAGAGGAGGAGAGCAGGAGGAGGCAGCAGCAAGAGGAAGAGGAGGAGGAGGAGGAGGAGGAGGAGGAGGAGAAGGAGGAGAGGGAGCCCATGGTTCGAGGCGGAGGTGGATGACACCGCCCCGCGGGGCGTGCACCCCGCTGCCTGCGCGCCTCCACCCCGAGGGGCCTGCGGGCCAGCGCCGCTGCAGGGTGGCGGGGGGCACCATCAAAGGGGCGCCCCGGGGGAAGGCCCCTGGCGGCCCGCTCCTCGCTGCTGCTGCTGCTGCTGCTGCTGCTGCTCCTCCTCCTCCTCCTCCTCCTCCTCCTCCTCCTCGCCCTACTCTCTCCTCCTCCTCCTCCTCTTCTCCCCTCCTCCCTCCTCCTCCTCCTCCTCCTCCTCCTCCTTCTCCTCCTCCTCCTCCTCCCGCACCCTCCACGGTGTGCTCAGGGGAGGCTGCAGCACCGCTCAACGATGTGCTATTTGACCGAACCTGCAGGGAGGGCCCTTTCCCAACTCCGTGCGTCGGTGCGGATCGTCTGCGCGCCTCGCCTCCGTCGTCGTAGTCGTTGTCGTCGGCGTCTTCGTGGTCGTGGTGCGTGTTGCTCTGCTCGGGACTTGTTTCCCTTACGCAGTGACCAGCACCGCCACCCGCACCCTCCTCCTGGGCTCCTCCTCCCCCCGCCGTCCTCGTCGCCGCCCGCTGCTCGCTCGCCCCCGTGGTGCACGCGCGCGGCGCGGGCACGCAGGCAGACCCTGAGAGACCCTGGCGTGGCAATCTTTTGGAGCCGGGCGTTTTCCTGCCTTTGCTCGGGCCCCGCGGGGGCCTTCGCAGATCAATCCGGCGCGAGATGATGAGGCAGGAAGCTGGAGTCCAGGGCTCCGGGCGTGATTTGCCTGCCGACGTTGGCAGTTTTGTCGCCACGTCGGATCTCAGCGCAGGCAGGCGGAGGAAGGGAGGAGGAGGAGAAGGAGTGGAGGGAGGGATCGTGGGGGGACGAGGGTGGGATCGGGAGGGAGGGAGGGATCGGGGAGGAAGGGATCGGGAGGGATCGGGGAGGGATCGGAGGAGGCAGGCGGACGGCGCTGGGACGAGGGTGAATCCGTTCCAGAGCGTTCTGGAACTTTCTAAGAGCGTTCTGGAGCGCTCTGAGAAGGCCGCGGCGGCCGAGACATCCTCTATAGAGCCGCCGGATCCGGGAGATTCTCGATTTATCCTCACCCGGTCTTGCCGTCCTCCTGGCGTCGTCTTAGAGGAGGGAGGTAGGCGGGACGCATGGGTAGGTGAGGAGGAGGAGGAGGAGGAGGAGGAGGAGGAGGAGGAGCAGGAGGAGCAGGAGGAGCAGGAGGAGGAGGAGAGGGGACACGAAGTACGGGCCGGAGGGCGCCCGCTCATCGACGATTCATCTCGGCGGCGTGCCGCGGGCATCGCGACGGCCCGCCAGTCGAAGGCACCGCGGGCATCGCTGCTTGCGTCGGGGAGCGGGCGCAGCAGGAGGGAGGAGCCAGGAGGGGGAGGAGGAGGAGCCAGGAGCGCGAGGACGACCGAGCATCGAGTTTCGAGGATGGCTGGGCGCCGCGCTTCCACTTCTTCAGGCTCTGGCCGGTCCACTCCAGTTCTCCTTGCCCCAGCCTTGGACCGGCGAGTTTTTGACCAGCCGTGGCCGCTTCCACATTGAGGTGCTGCTCAGCTGCTGGAGGAGCTCCTGGGCACCGCTTCCGAGGCCACGAACACACTGACAGGCCAAACGGTGCTCCTTGCTCCTGCCCTGGCATAAGGCCGCTCCAGCAGACTGAGCAGGGCACCCTCCAGAGGCCTCTTTGGCGCGCCATGTTCTTCCCGGTCCTGGTGCAATCGAAAGGCTCCTTGGAGAGTTCGAGAGTCATACGGGAGCGCTCCTTTCGTTTCCAATGAATTCGGCTTCCCATGGGCCGTCTCCCTCCTTCTCGAGGCCCGACGTTTGCGGTTTCGTTTTGTAGAATAAGAATCAACAGTATTGTCCAATGTCGTTCATTTACGATTTCAGCCAGGGTTCCCTAGTTGTCGCTCCGCTGCACTTCTCAGGCCAGGCTAGTCTGTGAGGGTCCTGGGGCTCGAAAAGGGGCGAGAACGACAATCGTTTTTCGCGACGCCTACCTCTGAAGGCTCTCTGGGACCCTGAGCCATTTTGGCCCAAGCCTCGGCACTCCTCGACCCAGACATCCGACGATGTGACTTTACGTTGCATCTTCGGGGGACCCCGCCTGTGCCCAAATTTGGCGTCGTCTCTTAATTATGCCCGAGGCGGCCTCGACGCGGATTTGGCGTGCAGCCGTCGCGGCTTCGACACGGATCCGACGAGGCCGACATGGAGTCGACACGGATTCGACGCGGATGGGGCCGCGCCGGGACAGAGGTCCCCCGAGGATGCAACCTCAGTGGCTGCTCCTGGAGGAGGAGGAGGAGGAGGAGGAGGAGGAGGAGGAGGAGGAGGAGGAGGAGGAGGGGGAGAAGAAGGAGGAGGAGGACGAGGAGGAGGGAGGGAGGGAGGGAGCGAGCGAGGGAGGTCAGGGAGGTCAGGGAGGGAGGGGGCCTCGGAGGTCTCGCCCCCCCCTCCCCGCGGGGGGCTGGCCTCGGCCGTCCCGCGCGGCCCACGCCGGAGGGCCCCCCATGGGGCCGGGAACCGCGGCCCCCGGAGGCCGCAGCGGCGGAGCGCAGTCGGCCTGCCAGCCCGGAGCGGAGCCTGGTCCCCACACGGTGCATGCCTAAAATTCTTCGAGGATGCTTTGATTTTTTTTGAGGGGGGGGCCAAGCTCCTTTCCTTTCCAATGCTTCCCTCCTGCGGGCCTCTTCCTGGCCACGAGGGGTTCAGGAACGATTCGAAACCAGCACACTCACAAATGAGCACGATTAGAAACGAACGACGTGTATGATCCTGAACACGAGAGATTTGGCGCTCCGGTGCGGATTTCTGGGATCCGAACTAGCCCCCCCCCCCCGGCGGCGCCTCAGGCGGCGCCCCTGGCGCGCTCCACGCGCCAGGTTGCGGGGGCCAGCGCGGCATTTGTGGTGTACACTGGTTCTGTGTTGCACACGGCTGATGTGGTGTACGCAGGCGCTGTGGTGTACACAAGAGCTGCTGTGCCCGCAGGCACGGTGGCACAAACTGACGCTGCGTTGCACGCGGATGCTGTGGTGTAGCCAGGCGCTGTGGCGTGCACAGGCGCTGCGGTGCACGCAGGCATTGTGGTGTGCACAGGCGCTGTGTTGCACGTGGTTGCCGCGGTGGACACATGTACACCGGCGTTGTCGTGTACGCGGCTGCTGTGGTGTAAACAGGCGCTGCGTTGCACACGGTTGTTGCGTTGTGCCATACACGCGCGTTGTGGTGCACGCGAGAGTTGTGGTGTACACAGGCGCAGTGGGGCACATCGCCACCTACATGCTGGTCGCGTCGTCGTCGTCGTCGTCGTCGTCGTCGCTCGTCGCTCGTCGCTCGTCGCTCGTTGCTCGTCGCGTCGTGCGCGCGGGCGCAGCTGTGGGGCCACACGGCGGGGGGGGGGGGGGGCGTTACGTCATACCCCCCCGCCCCCCCCCCCACCATGACGCCCGTCATCGCCGAACATCGAGAAACGCGCTCCTCCGAAGAACCAGCCAGAAGCTTCTGCCGCCTCGCTGTATCAGATCTGGGCTTTGGACACCACGAGTTACCTGCGGGGCTGAAGAACCAACCTATCGGAAGGCTGGGTCCCCCCCCCCTCCTCGAGGACCCCTCTCGGGCCTCCCGGCCGTGCGCCCGACGATGCGAGCGGACTAGCTGCCAAGGCCGCCTGCTGCGCACAGACAGCTCCACCCCCTCGCGAGTTACAGCCGGAACCGATGATGAGGATGGGTACGCTTAAGTCGGGCCTGTCCCTCTACAGGGGGACTACTATTTTTTGAATGTATTTGGGCATCTGTTGCGCATATTTGGGGGTATGTTTTATCTTTCGTCCAAAATCCCCCTGTAGGGGGACAGGCCCGACCTAAGGGTACATGCAGATCTCCCGGTCTACTTCGGGCGCCCTCCCGCTTCAGGGGTCCAGCGTTTTTCCCTCTCCCCTCCTCTTCGAGGGCTGGGCGGAGATCCAGTCTGCTCCCAACAACTGCTTTTCATGTCTCTGCCCACGCCCGACTTACGGGTGACCTTCCCAAGGGTACCCCTCGCATTCGTGGCCCCATCGGTCCATCCTCAACCACTTCCGATGGCCAGTCCCCCTCGGAAAGCTTCCTTGCCAGCGGTCTTGCTTGCACTCCCGGCTGGCCTCCACAGGCCCCCCCGAGTCTAATTCCAGCTGGCCTCCACGGGCCCCCCTGGGAGCTGCTGCCCCCTCCCTCGGTGTCGCCTCTCTGGGCCTCTTCGGAGGCCTGTTGAAGCCAGCTGGGACTACCCTGGTTCGGGCGTGCAGTGCCGTTTTTAATGTATGCTCCGCGTGCGGATCATGTATTAAAAGTGCAGGGATTTAGTATTGACAACAGCGATGAGTTCGTGCATAACTTTGTGCATAAAGTAATCATGCATTCAAAAGCCTATATAAAAAATCCTATGTATTGAAAACTGCCCTGTAGCCGCGACCAGGACCAGTCGCTCCAGAGCGTTCGAGGAACGCTCTCAAAGCGTCCCGGGGTGCTCCTTGGGGAGGCCGCGGCGCCCGACGTCCTCCACAGCCGCAGGATGCCAAAGCTCACCGCATTGTCCGTTTCCGACGTTGTGCCGCTCCTGGCTTCGTCTTGCTGGGGTGCTGTGGGGATGCGGCTCCTGGGAGGTTAAAACAACAGTGTCGGCGCGGGCACAGCCGTGGCCGAAGACCAGCCTGATCTCTTGCAGAGTCCCGCTGAATCTGGCTCGCTCCCGCCTAGTCCAGCGCAGTCCAGCTTAATCTTGGGCCCTATCCGGGCGAACCTGGTCCTTTCATGGGGCCCACTAGCCCTGAACCGTTCTTGCGGAGACCTTCCAGGAGTTGCTTCCTAATCGCTGCCTGTGCGCTGCCAGAAGCATTGCCATAGGGTTCAGTCGGGCATGTCCCTCTACAGGAGGAAAACTCAAGCATGGTACAACATTAGCCTGGGGACGATGTCTCTGTTATGTTGTGTCTCTTTTTGTTTCTTTCTTGATAATGTTGTCTGTTTCCTAGCTCCGCCTCTAGGAGGACATGCCCGACCCAACCCAGACAGCTTCGATTGGCGAACCTAGATAGCTTAGATCGGCTAGCCCAGATAGCTTCGACCAGCTCACCTAGATAGCCTGCTCAAGGCTGGCCCAGTCAAGCAAGCTGCCAAGCACAGGCAGACCACGACAGCAGCCCTCTGACCAGGAGCAGAGCAGGGCCACGCTCGCAGGTAGGGGCCGGGCAGGGCATGCCGCAGAGGCCGGCGCGATGTGGCCGCTCTGGCGCGGCCCGGCGCTGTGGGCGCGCGTGCTGGCCGCCGGCCGCTGGGCGCCGCCAGCGCGGGCGAGGCCTCTCGGCACGGGCCGCGGCGGCCTGCCGCGGCTGTACGGCGAGGCGATCGGCGCAGACGCCCTGCAATCGTCTAGGCTTAGGAGGGACCCTTCGCCAGAGTGACCTTGAGTGCAGGCCCATTGGGGTCCCTCGATCGCCATGCGCGATGCGATGGTAGCGTCTCGCGTCCCTGCGTTTTCCCCCCCTCCCCCCCCTCCCCCCCCCCCGCGGCCTTCCCAAAAGCCGCGCATCAGAGGTCACTCTTGCCCAGGGCCATTCCTGCGTGTAGTCGATGCAAGCGGGGTGCGAGTGAACGGGGCGGTGGCCTTGAGGGTCCCCTTGCGAGCGAGGGCGAGGCGACGGGGCGTTTGCCTCGCACTCGTGCGTGATGCATTGGGACGGCAGAATCGTCGATACACCATCTTAGCTTTAAGTCCGGCCTGTCCCTGTACAGGAGGAATATCCAAAAACAGTCGAATCTTGTCCGGAGACGATTGTGTTTTTTGTTTTGGCTATTCGTGGATACTTGTTGGCGTATTTTTTAGATTCGTCCAAAATTCTTTCCGCTTCGCGTATCCCCACCAGCCCATTTCAAAACAGCAAATCTTGCGAAGCATGCCGACAGTCGTGTTTTTCAGGCGTGTTTCCGCCTGCCCCCGCATATCTCCCCTGTTCCTCCTTCCTCCCGCCTCCTTGTACATCCTCCTTGTGGTGGGAGCGGGAGAAGGACGAGGCGGAGGAGGAGGGAGAGAAAGCGCTCCTCGTGGTTTGAGTCGTTTGGGGTTTCCTGGTGAGTCGTTCGGGCCCTGTCCTGGTGTGAATCGTTCGGGCTCTTCGTGATGTGAGTCGTTCGGGCTCTTCGTCCTGGTGTGAGTCGTTCGGGCTTCTCGTGGTGTGAGTTGTTCGGGCCCCTCGTCGTCGTGTGAGTCGTTCGGGCCCCTCCTCCTGGTGTGACTCGTTCGGGCTCCTCGTGGTGTGAGTCGTTCGGGGCCCTCGTCGTGGTGTGAGTCGTTTTGGGAGCCTCTTGGAGGCCTTTTGGGGCGTCTTCGGGGCCTCTTGGCGGCCCCAGGGGCTTCTAGGAGCGTCTTGGGTGCCTTGGGAGAGCCTCTTCGGGCCTCTTGGGAGCCTCTTGGATGCCGTTTGGGGCGTCTTGGGGGCCTCTGGGCGGCTCCAGGGGCTTCCAGGAGCGTCGTGGGTGCCTCGGGGGAGCATCTTGGGGCCTCTTGGGGGCCTCTTGGGGGCATCTTGGGGGCCTCTTGGAGGCCTCTTGGGGCCTCGCGGGGCTCTCTGGGAGGGGTCTGGGAGGAATCTTGGGGCCATCTGTCGGGCGATCGATCACAGATGAGGCGAGCATTTTTCTGCCTCCCCCCGTCGGGGCCAGAATCCTCGTGAGGGGTGTCGAATTTTAGCCCTCCCAGGAGTCGAAAAAGACCCCTCCAACCACCCGCGGGGCGCCCTCTCCAGGCCCAGGGGGAGGGGGTAGGGGGAGGGGTAAACCCCTCCCCGAAGGGGAAGAAGGGGGTTGAGAACAGAGCGGGCTCTCTAAACCACTCACGCCCAAAAGGCTGGTGGGATTTTATCCAAAAACAGTCGAACCTTGTCCGGAGACGATTGTGTTTTTTGTTTTGGCTATTCGTGGATACTTGTTGGTGTATTTTTTAGATTCGTCCAAAATTTGCCTGTAGGGGGACACGCCCGATTTAATCATAGCTCTGGGCGGGGGGGGGGGACCTCGCCTGCCGCGACTGTACGGCGAGGCGATCGGCGCGCAGAATGTTTGCACGCTCGTTGCGAGGGCCTTCCTTCCGAGGAGGAGGAGGGTACCCAATACAGCCGGCCCTGATTATTAAGTCGACCCTGCCAAATCAAGGGTACCCTTGTGTCCTGTGTCTCGCGGCCCATGCCTCCGACATTCCAGTGGCAATGTGGCCCTCGAAAGGGTCTCGTGTTCTCTCGCGTGTCCTGTCCAATCAAGTCCGACTGTACCTCTACCCTCCCCCTTGGGCCCAGGACGGACCACATCGGTGCATGTGCATACTTCTTTGCCGTAGGCAAAGACCGCAGAGATGAGCGACGCGCAGAGTCGGAGTCGCTTGCGCGGACGTTCGCGCGGAAGCTGCTTGCGCAACATGGCGCGCGGACTCCCTAGTTTCCCATGTGGCGTGCCGCGCCGGTTGCCTGCGTGCTAAAGTCGTGCCACCGTGCGTAAGACCTTAGTGGGCCCCGAAAGCGGCAGGGCCGTTTTTTTCACCGTTTCCGAACAAGTATCTTTTAAAAACGGAAACAGCCAAAAAGGAACCGACCGGAAACGACACAACATCGGCCCCGGGATTGGAACGGGAACCGGAACCGGTGCAAAAACGAGGGAGGGATGGGTGAAGAAACGGCGCCAGAACCAGCTAGAGAAAGGGCCAAGCGGAATTGGTGAAAAAAAGGGCCCTGTCATGTCCAGGGCCCACTAAGGCCGCGCTGGGGGCCTGCGTACGCCACCGCGTAAGGTCATGCCACCGTGCGTATGTCGGGTTCACCAAAAAGGGGGTCCAGCGACAAGGCGGTGGTGCAATAGATTCAGTTCAATCGATTTGTGGGGTTGCAATACACTTTGGGCGTGCAATACATTCCAGGGCGCACATGTATTGCTGGAGTTCCGCGTGCAGCACATTACTTGCAACACAATGCAATACAACTCTTCGGCGCAGTACATTTGCAAGACAACTGTCCCAAACCTATTGCATCACCCCCTTTCAGCTGGACCCCCTTCTGGGCCCCCCAAAGTAAGACCCTCCTCTTGCCGTCGCGCAGGTGAACGCTCGGAGGCCTGCGGAGTACTGGGACTTCGAGTCCCTCAACATCTCGGCGGCGCGCCTCAGCAGGCAGTCCCCCTCGTGGCCACGACAGTGGCCTTCGGTGGCCCCCTTGGCAGCGGGTTGAGGCAGCGGTGGTTGACCTTGGTATGCAGCCCTCCTGCGTTGGTATGCAGCCGTCCTTCGGAGGACGCGAGGTCTTGGTATGCCGCCCTCCTGCCTTCTGAGACGTTTTCCCCAGGAATCGCCAGCGGGCTTCTCGGAGCCTCAGGGGCAACGTGAATCGGAGGCGGATCGTTTCAGCGGGTGGGATGCATCGACCCCCGACCCCCAGTGGCCCACTCGTCTCCAGTAGGGTTACGTCGGGCCAGTCCCTCTACAGGAGGAAAATACAAAGATAGTCAAACAATAGTCCGGGGACGAGCTTTTGATCATTTTTGACTTCCTTCGCGTATGCTTTGACTATTTTCTATTCTTCGCCCAAGGTCCCCCCTGTAGGGGGACACGCCGGACTTAACTCCAGGAGGGGCCTGAGAGCCCATCCCGCCCAGGATCGTGTCCAGTCGGCATCCGGGCCTATCGGAGATTTATCGGCGACGTAGGGCGAATTCCAGGTCGATGCTTCCCTCCCTTGGGCCCGTCCCCCCCGAATGTCCCCCCGCAGAGCCGCCGCTTGTGGGCTCTGAGGGAGACGAGGCCCAGACCTGGGAACTTTTCCCAGGACCACTTTCGGGCGTGCGGTGATGGGGGGGACCCAAAGGGGGGGTGAAGAAACAGGCCCTACAGGGGCCAAGTTGGGTCCCTTTTGGAGCCCGCTGGTGCCCAAAAGGGGCCCTAAAGGGCCCCCCGAGGGCCTTTTTCTTCACCCCCCCCTTTTGGGTCACCCGCCCCCGTTGCCGCCCGCCTGAACGTTTTCCGACCCGAGCAGCCTGTCGACCGTCGGCGGGAGGAGGAGGAGGAGGAGGAGGAGGAGGAGGAGGAGGAGGAGGAGGAGGAAGATGGAGGAAGAGGAGGAAAGGAAGGAGAGGAGGACGTGAGGAGAGGAGAATAGAGGAAAGAGAAGAGGGAGAAGGAAGAGGGAGGAGAAGGAGGAGGAGGAGGAGGAGGACGAGGAGGAGGAGCCCGGGGGGGCCGAGCACGGCGAGGCACTTCCAGAGCCCCCTCGCCCTCGGGGAGCCCCCGGGCGCGCCGCCGAGCAAGCAGTGCAGGGCTCGGGGCCGAGCACAGACAGCCTCGGAGGCCTCGGCAGGCTCCCCAAGCAGTCCAGGCCACCCTCCTCCTCCTTTTCCTCCTCCTCCTCC